AAATGTCTACTGATTGGGAAGAAAGAAATAAAACTATGTTCCCAGGTGACATGATTGTCTATGTAGAAAATCCAAAGGCATCAGCCAAAAAAAAAAAATTCTAGAACTAATAAGCAATTATAGCAAAGTTGCAGGATACAAAATTAGTATACAAAGTGAATCACTTTCCTATATATCAGCAATGAACAAGTTGAATTTGAAATTAAACACATGATACCATTTACGTTATCACCCCTAGAAATAAAATGTTTATGTTAAATCTAACAAAATACATGCAAGATCTATATGAGGAAAACTATAACAATTTATTAAAATAAATAACTGGATAAATGAAAAGATGTTCCATGTTCATGAATAGAGGAAATCAATACTGTCAAGATGTCAGTTCTTCCCAATTTGATCTATAGTGATATTGTTTGGATACTTGTCCCCTCCATATCTCATGTTGAAATGTGACCTCTCCTGTTGGAGGTAGGGCCTAGCAGGAGGTTCTAGATCATGGGGGCAGATTCCTCATGAAGGATTTAGTGCTGTCCCCTTAGTAATGAGTTTGTGCTCTGAGTTCACATGAGATTTGGTTGTTTAATATAGTGTGATACTTTCCCTCTCACTCAGAGTGATGACTTTTTACAGAGTACAAATAAATAGACTCAGAGAAACTATTTGCAAAATGTATATTTGATAAAGATCTCTTATCTAAAACATATACATAAAAACTCTTAAAACTCAACAATAACAAACAACCCAGTTTAAAAAAAGAAACTTAAAGACCTTAAACAACACCTCACTTAAAAAGACATACGGATAACAAATAGACTTACGAAAAGAAGCTGAACTTTATATGCTATTAGAGGATTGCAAATTAAAACAATGACATTATTGTTCATGGAATGTTTAAAATTCAAAAAAACGAAACAATTGATAGTTTCTTATTAAAAAAATGTTGTCTCACCATACAAGCCAGGATTCATACCATTAGGTACTTATCCAATTGAGTTGAAAATTTATGTCCACACAAAAACTTGCACGAGAATATTTATAGAAGCATTATCCATACTCATCGAAGACTGGAAGCAGCCATAATGTTCAGTCATATAAACAACTTGTGGTACAACCATACAATGAAATATCATTCAGCAATAAAAGGAAATGAGCTCTCAAGTCATAAAAAGACATGGAGTAAACTTAAATGCACATTACTAAGTGAGACAAATCAATCTGAAAAGGAATACATACAATATGATTCCAACTCTATGACATTCTGCAAAAGGCAAAACTATGGAGTCTACAAAAATATCAGTGGTCACCAGGGGCTTGGATGGAGAAAGAGACAAACAGGCGTAACACAGGATTTTTAGGGCAGTGGTAATTAATCCGTATGATACTATAATGGTGACTGCAAGTCATTATGCATTTTTCCAAACCCATGGAGTATACAACAACAAGAGTGAACCTTAAGGTAAACTAAACTCTTTGGATGATAATAATGTGTCAATGCAGGTTTATGAATTTTAAGAAATTACTGGTAGCAGATACTGATAACAGGGGAGCCTATGCATGTCTGGGGGCAGGAGGTAAATGAGACATCGCTGTACTTTCCTCTCAATTTCACTGTAAACCTAAAACTGCTCAAAAGAAAAAGTCTTTTTAAAATTGTGACTCTCTTGGCTTTACTGGCTGCTCTGGGAAAAAGAAAAGGTGGGAATTGGTCCTATGAGTTTGCAGACTGCTTAAAGATTCAGCAAATTATGCATAGTCTAGGCTTTCTGTCCCAAGGCTGAGCAAGAGTACGCATGCCATATTGCCACTTCTTTTGCATCTTGCACATCCTAATGGATTTAAATATGTGTGGATGTATGGGGTTTGTTATTTTCTCTTTTTATCCAAAGGAATACTTGTCACTTTATGTCTTTTTATGATGAATCTCTATCTTAGAGGACCTAGAGGGATGCTACATGCCCAGTTCTTCTCTTCTGCTCCCTAGCTCAAATACGGCCAGTCTCACTCTCGGAGTGGTCCAAATCTCCACTCTCACATTCAAGTTCACTTACTTGAAGTTGTGGCCTATTAGAGGGGAACAGAGACTAGGTCTTACATATCACGTGATAGTTAGCTCTGCTAGTCCTGGATTGCCACAGATGGGATACTGGCCTTAGGTTAAAAACAAAGATTAAGCAGAGCCCTATGTATCACTCTCTTGAGTCCACTAACTACCAGACCCCCGTAAAGACAGCAGTCATCAGTTAAATAAATGAACAATTAAATTGAGAACAGATGTGTGAAAACAGCCACCCTCTCCTGATTTACTGACCCCTGGTAGATATTAGTTTGGTAATGGACTTTATCTGTCACAAACAGCCTGCCCCACTGCTTAGAAGGGAGGGCATCTTTTATACTTTTATACTTTTAGTTGCAGTCTTCTTAGCCCCTGACTTCCCTTGAAGGAACCCTGGGGCTAAGCAGGTGATGCTCATGATGAACTTGATGAATTCTGCATTTCCCTCTTTACTTAGGTGCTCACAAAAGGTTGATAAACCATCTTGCCAGCCCACAATGTTAGCCGCATTCAGCTGGAATGAAATTTGGGCAGCCATGGTTCCAGCCTGTTTTCACATACTAGTTATCCTAAAATAATCAGAGATTTCCAAGGTGGCCCCCTTTTCTGTGATGGGCTTTGAGAAGATATGTTTTCATTAACACAGGGTAGTTCTTTCTACTGGAAGGTGCACAGTAGAAATAAACGCTCAAGGCCCCTCCCAGTATTTGGAGGTGTGGTGGTCCCATGGTAAGATTTTTAGAGCTTTTTAAAGAGATTTTTATGTTTAGCAACCATTGCAACTGCTGCTTACTCATGAAGTGAAAACCAAGAGTGTTTTTCTGTTTTGTTTTGTTTGCTTTTTATCATTCTAAATTCAAATTATCATTCTCATGCCCAGGTATAAAATTCCCTTAGGGAAGCAGACAACTTACTTGAGTCTGTGAAATGGGCATCAGGGAGAGAAAGCAGAGAGGAGGGTGCAGGGAGAGAACTGATTCAGTGACTCACATTCAGGCCAGGGGTTAAAAGGGGACAAGCACTCCAATGCTAACCAGCAGTGCTCAAGAGTTGGCCCATGTGTGGGCTGTGACTGCCTTCAATCACAGGAAAAAAGAAGAGGAGGAGGCGGCTCAGGCTCAGCGAGAGAAGAGAGGTGTTAGTCATTGCCATGACTGCAGAGGTACTTGTTATAATAGCTGGGTGGGGAGATGTTGGAGTGAATTTATTATAAGGAACCTAGAGCACACAGATTATGGGACTGAAGGGCAGGAAAATACCCTCAGAACCCACCCCTCAGCCTAGATTTCCAGATACTCAGTCCGCATGGTAGAAAATTACGACAGCACCGCCCCAGCTCTCTCTAACGTTTCTTATTCTGAGAGTAGCCCAGAGTGAAGCAGAACATTTTTAACAACATTTCCACTGGCTGGGAGCTACAGCATATAAACACAGTTACCAGGAGCCCACCCCCACAGGCAAAGGGAGACAGTGAAGTGGTCATGTGAGCTGGGAAGAAACCCAAAAAAGGATCTTCTAGACTCCATCACTGCCCTGCCACAGAATACAAAGATTGGTCTCTGGGTATTACCAACCTGTGTTGCTGGAGTTTTTTATTTTTGTTTTCTTGATTTGGCCTGTGGTTTGAATCCATAATTTGCCTGTAAAATGTACTAAGAGTTTATATTTGTTCCTTCATTCGAAAAATTATACTCATTTTTCTTGGTAAGAAGAGTTTTGGGAGTAAGAAAGAAAAAATGGACGTGGAAAGTTTGTTTTAGCTCCATCCAGTCTAGATATAAACTAAATGTTTAAAGAGAACTATCCTTATACCATCCTCAGGGAAAGACACAAGTCAGCTACATTTTACTTTCTTCTGTAAGAATAAGAAATATGCCTGGTGGCCAAGTGCAGTGGCTCACGCCTGTAATCCCAGCACTTTGGGAGGCCAAGGTTGGTGGATCACCTGACGTCAGGAGTTCAAGACTAGCCTGATCAGCACAATGAAACCCTGTTTCTACTAAAAATATAAAAGTTATCTGGGCATGGTGGTGGCTGCCTGTAATTCCAGCTGCTTGGGAGACTGAGGCAGAAGAATCACTTGAATCAAGGAGGCGGAGGTTGCGGTGAGCCAAGATGGCACCACTGCACTCCAGCCTGGGCAACAGAGCAAGACTCCGTCTCAAACAAACAAACAAACAAAAAAACTCTGTTCCCGAATAATTGGGGAGATTGATTTGAGTAATAATAAAACTCTGGTCTCCCACAACCAGAAAAAAAAGAGAGAGAGAGAGAGAGAGGAGAGAGAGAGAGAGAGAAAAGAAAGAAAGAAAGAAAAAAGGAAGGAAAGAGAGAAAGAGAGAGAGAGGGAGGGAGGGAGGGAGAGAAAGAGGAAGGAAGGAAGGAGGGAGGGAGGGAGGAAAGGAAAGAAAGAAAAGAAAGAAAGAAAAAGAAATGAAGTCCATTTTAGTGCTTTGTGGTCTAACCAATGAATTTCCATCCCTAAGGAAAGAGATAGATTGTTCCTAAGAAAGTGAATCTAGGTGTTTAAAGCTATATCGTAAATGATTTTTCACTATAAGGTCACCATATGTTTCAAAGGCCCAAACTTCAAAATACTGTTTCCATCAATTTACATCCCGGCCCACTTTTTCTTTCCCAATTTTATGTGTAGCTTTTCCTGAAAAGAATCCCAAAGCTAGCGTGAGAGGCTGACTGGCAGCGGCTCAGTGCTGCGGGTGCTCCATCCTTGCCCTTAGGACCTCGTCCTAAATGCAGGAGAGAGCAACGTGGCAGGAAATCAATTACAATCCAGCAGCTCCACAGGACTGGGCTCAAAGGCTAGGCTACAACGAGCTGAGGGCATTAGAATCCATTCTGGGGATTTACCTTTCTTTGCAGTAGCTTCTATTTTCTAATGCCGGAGAGATCTGAATAGCCTTTGTTTTGCCCCATTTCCCTCCAGGCTTAGCGCAGATATGAATGCTGATGTGGTATGTCACACTCTGGAGTTTTGTAAACAGAACATTGGCCAACCATTGTGTCATCTCTATCCTCTTCCCAAGGTGAGTGGGTATTCACTCTGAACATCTGTTTCCAGTGGCATGCAAGGCCTTTGGAAATGTTAGAAAAGGGAGGCTTAGCTTTACTCAGTGTTTTGGGGACAGGGAGAGACAGGTTGACATTTTCAATTACCCTGCAAGAAATAATATTTCTGTGTTTCAGCCTAGATCCCTACTCCCACGCTACCAAAGAATGTCTTTGCCTTTCAGCCATTGTGGACTGTAATTTTGAGCTGGGCTGGCAAGAGGTAGGAAATCTGATCAGTCAGAGACACAGAGGTTTAAATCCCTATCACTTAAAAATCAAGAAAGTTACTCTCATAGGGTCACCAACTCATTTCAGTTTGCCCAGGACTTTTCTGGCATACACACCGAAAGCCCCACATCCTGGGAAATCCTGGGCAGTTGGTCACCCTACTCTGAGCTTTACTGCTCTTACCCACAAAATGGATTTTGATAAACTACCTCCCACATTGGTTTATTGTTGGAAGCAGGTGAGCTAATGCATTAAAAAAAATGCTTAGCACAATACCTGATACCGTTTTAAAAGTGTTCATAAAAATGATTGCTAAATAATCATTATTGATAACATTGTTATTCAGTGATAGCTGTTCAGAGGACCCTGTATGCATTGTATCATTTTGTGCAGCTTTTAATTGAATTGCAGAGACAAGCTTGACACAATGCCCTCCGCACACTCTGGAGGAAAGGATAGTATTGAATCCAGTTGGGCCACACAACATAGATTTTCAGGAGCTCCCTGTGAAAAAAAAAATTCTATGCCTTCTTTCTCAAATTGTAGTTTTTCTGGATATAACACAATAGGTTTCTATTTTAATTGTAATTCCCTCTTTATTCATGTTAAAATGAAGTCCATTTTAGTGCTTTAGTGCTAACCAGTTAACACAATTTTGCTGATGGACAGTATTAAATATCATAAGCCTGTCTCCTTGATCAGGAAGAAAGAGATGCAAATACCTGAGGAACATGTATATTTCATGCTTCCTCTGTCACTGACTAAGTGCCAATTAAATTTCCCCTAATTCCACATGAGGAGTTCTGGGCTCCACTTGTACCTAGAAGGGTTAGTTAACTTAAAAAAAGAAAAAAAAAAAAAAAACTTTTCATGTGTTCAAATAGCATATGACTATTATATCATAATATTTGCTATTTGTTATTGCAAGGAAGAAATGGGTCTCTGTGTAGAAAGGCAAATGATACAGGTTTTTGTGATTTCCTTAAATAATATCATTTATACATTACACTCACAGTTATGCATAGTCACAACAAGTTCAACTTTAAATTGTCCCATTTAAAATGGCATTCTTTATTTTTTATACTCTCTAGAGTTTACATCTGAAATTTCATGTCCTTGTCTTCCCACCCTGGCCCCCTTCCCAATTCCCAACTCTGTAACATTTTGACCATCCTCTTTGGCTACAAGGAAATTGGAGGATTTCATGTGGGAACCATCACCTTCCACCCCAGCTGGCATTCAGTGCTTCTGGGCAGCCTGCTACTGCTTCCTGGACAGCCCCCTTCACTTTCCTCTGATGGCTGTTCTAGGCCTTCACCCTCCACCTCAGGTCCCCCTCTCCAGCCTCCATCTCTGCAGATGACCCAGAAAAGAGGGACAGTGGGTATACACATGGACAGCTTCACTTTCCTCTGCCTTTGAGCTTGCCCTGAATGGCAGTAACTGACATTGACTGGGCACTCACTGTGGGCCCAGTGCTGGTGCAGAGCCTCACACGTGGTCTTGTTTTGTTCCCAAGCAAGCCTAGGATGGAGGCGTCTTTATGACTCCCTATTACATGGGAGGAAACTGAGGATTAGAGAAGTTATGTGCCTTCCTGAAAGTTACTTCTTCCTGAGGAAAGAACAGAACTGGGATTCACAACCCCTGTTATTCTACTCAGAGAGCTTGGTTGATCTCTAACCATGGTGTCAGTGTCTCAGAAATTCCCCTGGGGTGTCTTCTTAGAGCAGTCAGCTGAAATCCTACCACCGGAAACAACCCATGTTGAAATGTGTGTTTCCTTTTAATTTTTCAAATAAATTATACTGTATTGATAATTTCTTTGAGAGCTATGATCCTGTATATACAGTTTTATAGCCTACTTTGTTCCCTTAACATTACATTTTGAGCATGTATTTTTCAATGGTATATAGCAGACTTTTTTATCATTTTACATATCACTCTTACATAGCACGTATGAATGCTCAGGTGGAATTGCCTACCTACCGAAGGCAAGTGAAAATACAAATACAAATGTGGGTAATTTTCAGCCCCCCAGAAGGAATTCTCATGACACTCCCTGTCAGTATTCCCTGGAGTAGCCACTATTCTGAAGTCGGTCGCCAGCGGCTGGTTCATTTTTTAGGAAACTCTATCCTGGAACGTTGTATCAAAGTCCTCCGCAGCATACACTCCTTTGTGTCTGGCTTCTTCTGCTTGTGAGCTTCATCCCATGTTGGGTGAACAGCATTATTTCGTGTACAATTCTCTCAGTCGTCTTTTGATGTAGTTCCCACTCTACTGTCCCAGTGAGTCCAACCAAATCTGCTCTTGCCCTCTTTCCAATCCATTGTCTGCATTGATGCCACAAATGCCTTGCTGTAAGATAAATATGACCTTCTCACCCCAGTACAACCCTTTGCCTAGAAAGCAGTTTCTCACTCTGCCCTTCCACTTGGTGGGTTATTCCTCCCCATCCTTCATGTCTCAGCTTACATGTCACTTCTTCAGGGAGGTGGCCCCTATTAGATAAAGCTCTAGTCATAGCTCCTGTATATTCTTTTCTTGAACTTGCCACTTTACAAGATACATCTCTGTGTGACTGCCTGCCTGTCTGTCTCTCTCACTAGGCTCTGAACTCCAGGAAGGCAAATTCTGTCTTGTTTACCACTGTATCAGTATCCAGGACAGTGCCTCACACATACCAAAGAAATGTGTGCTGATACAATGAATGGATGAGGTGTCACTAGCTTCTCAATTGCATCCTGATGGAAATTCTGACTTTTCTCATGTCAAGGCCTCACTGATTTTCCTAGTGCATACTTCTGATCCTGAACATAGCTTAGTATCTCAACGTTGCCTACATAACTAAGCACAAATTTTCGCTTAGCTTTTCAGGACCTTCCAAAAGCCTTTCCAGACTTGCCTTTCCCTCTTAGGTTTGTGGACCCTGTGCCGCAGCGACCAGCAAGTGACTGGCTCTCCCTTAAGCCCTCCCCACCCCCACCTTGCACCTTGGGTCTTCATCATTCCCTCTACCCAGACCATCTTTAACAATTCCAGCCATCCCTCAAGCTCACGTCAATGGTCACCTTCCCTGTAAAGTAATTCCTAACGGTGCCAACAAAATGTTAACTGTCCTTTGAACAATCATTGTAAAATAACTGTTCGAGCACTTACAATGTGCTAATATTTTTCTAAACGCTTATGTGTATTCATGCATTTAATCTTATGAAGTAGGTATGGTTGTCCACCTTTTATAGATGAGGAAGGTGAGGCAGAGAGACATCAAGATACTGAAGTTTTGTAGATTTCCTCACTAGGATGCAGGCACATGGGGGCGGGCAGGCCTGTCCCTTGCCTGTGTTTGTTCCCTCCACTGTGCCAGGCACATACACTTGGTATATGGATAAAAACAAAAATAGCAGAAGCAAGTATTTATTGACAGCCTGCCAGCCACTGCATGACATGTGTGATCGCATTTAACAGTGCTCTGACATCTATATTTATTTTACAGTTAAGGAATTTTGAGACTTAGGGAAGTTAAGGGATTTTCCCAGGCTATACAGCTAGTGAGGAACACAAGGGGATTCATCCCTGGGTCTGTTTGTCTTAAAGCCCAAATGCTCATTCACTGCCCTCTCAGCCTCACTGAGACTCCTCGGGCATTGTCATTTTGAATGGAACCGCTGCTCCTGGGCCAGCTAATTCCTCATAAGCAGGACTCTGCACCCTCTATGTCTGGCTTTTCACACATTTCAGACTCTTGTACAACAGAAATAATGTGATGCAAGCCATCTCCTCTATGATATGCATGCTGCAGGGATGGAGTGGATGGATTGGTCCCTCTGCACCAGGGAGCTCAGAGCACAGAAGCAAGCAATGCAGAGCAACCAAGATCTGGCTTCAGTGGGGCCAAAAGTTAAAGGTGGAACCGCATTTGGGATCCACAGTGAACCCTTGTTCATCATCTACAACCCACCTGAAATTCCAGGCCCACTTCTTGCTGGTCCTGTGGCAATGTTCCCTACCACTAGCTACCATGTGCTCAAAAAGGACAAACTTCATCCATAATTAATTAAAGCAAGAAAAATCTACAAAGTCCCACTAGTACAAGAAGCAGAAGAAAAAGGAGACAGGAAAGAAGGAGGAAGAGAAGAGGAATGGGGAGGAAAGGGAAGGAAAAATAGCTGCAAGCCTCATTGCAAAGACCAGCTGGGTGGTTTCCTGTTACCTGTCTTGCGAGTTTATTTTTACCACTCTTCTCATTTGCACACAAAACAGGGCATTGATTGCTGCTGGGGTGTGTGTGTGTGTGTGTGTGTGTGTGTGTGTGTCTGCTTGTGCACATGCACAGGGATGCATACACATGTGTCCAAAACCATGATTCTGACACCACAGCCTACAAATTGAAAACTGAATGCAGCCCATTCATGTACACCCAGTGGCTCTTTAAGGCTGTCTTTTTTGGATCAGAAGGTTACATTGTATGAGTCCCAGTTGAGCCAGAAGCCTCGTGGAGCCTCCTCAGCTTTAAGCTGCTTCCACTTAGGTCCCCAAACCTTGAGATCGATCCCCAGGCAGATCTCGTAGCTTTGAACAGACCCCTTTCTAACCACAGCAGTGCTGGAGGAACGTGCTGCATTTACCAGCGTCTCCAAGGCACACTCAAGATTTACTTCAGCCACTTTGATCCATGTTAAAAGAGAATCCTATTCAGAATGTAAGCCCTGTGTGGAGCGATTCTCCATATTTCCCTGGGGCC